AGTTTGCGTATTCTAATCCAGCTTGCTTAAGAGTGCTGACTTAAAGGTGGAAAAATTACTTAGGTCTTACATTAAATGTGGACGGTGTGTTTTGAAGATGCATTTAGTAATTTACTGAAATATTGTATAGGTTAGTAAAACTGGAGCAGAAGGTGCTGTGTTGGATGAGGCCAAGAACATCAACAAGTCTTTGTCTGCTCTTGGAAACGTCATTTCGGCTTTGGCTGAAAGCAGTGTAAGTGTTCTCTTTTGTATTTTTATATTTCAAGGTTAAAGGCTTGTGTCCCCAAACGTGGTATTATGCAGAAATTCTTTACTGACCAGTGATACGCATGGAGTCTTTTAAACTAATCCAGTTGCAGCAGTGTATTGCAAATGGCTGTTGTTCTTGTGCAGTGTTGGCACTGATGATTAATGAAGTTACGTTTAATGTTGAGGTGCCCAGGAGTCATACTGAAAGTTTTCTTGTACTTCTATGTTTGGTAACTTCTAGAGTACAATTTTATGTCACCCCATGTGTGTTCAGTCTTCTGAATTACGAATTAAAGCAGAATTTAATGGCTTTCTAATGAAGTTAGACCTAGCAAAACCATAGCTCTTATTTAAACGAAATCAATAATGTGTTTGAAAACCTGTAACTGATTCATTTAACCATTTTCTCGGTAGACTTACGTTCCCTATCGTGATAGCAAAATGACCAGAATCCTTCAAGATTCACTAGGGGGTAATTGCAGAACCACTATTGTTATTTGCTGTTCTCCATCTTCATACAATGAATCTGAAACTAAATCTACTCTTCTGTTTGGCCAGAGGTGAGTAAATGACTTCGTATTTTGCTCTTGCTGTGCTCAGAAATAAACGCTGAGTGAGAAATAAGTTACTCTGTTAAGACTTCTGAACCAAATTAGTTAGAATGTTTACTTACTTTTTGTAATTCTTCAGTGCACGTGTTGCTAAGTTTTGTGATGTCTTCTGTAAAAATGCGTAAACTGGGCAGGGTACTGAAGACTGTATTTCTAGGAGGACAGCGTATAGGTTGGTTCAAAATGTGGTTTAATGTATAGTCTTGGAGGGTAATCAATACTTTTTTTTCCTCATCCCTCTAAATTGAAGAAGGGAGGAAACAGTTTTTCCCTATTCAGTTGAATCCTTTATCCGCCACCCTTTCTTTGATAGCGTGCTGAATTACAGCTTCTGGTCTGTTTTCTGTATCTAGCATTCCAGTAACATTTGAGTTAATACTTCTAAATTCCCATGTCACGTGTAATTGAATTTATAAGTACCCATTTCAAATTTGGTGTTTCGTTAGGTATCTCTTCTTTGCCACCCTGTTATTAGTGCTGTATCATAGTACTCCAGTTCCTGACCATTAGACTTTATCACTTCATTTGCTGGAGCACATTATGACAGCTGTCAGCATTTTACTTAGTTCTTCCGGTGTTAGCATACTACTTCCAATTCAGTTCAACAAGGTAGTTTTTCTGTTAGTCTTTTAAGCATTTCATTATGGAAAGTAGACTAGATGACTTGAACTTCGTAAAAATCTGGTAGAATATGGGAAGTTAGTGGGTGTGGAGTAATGACTGCATTCTGGCACAGTAGAGGTGTTTTGTTCTCCTTTTAGAACCCAGGAGGCCTTTTCCTTTCCTTGTAGTATTTCTGGGATGGGCTATCCGAAGTGTTTTCCAGCTCTAGCTCTGTAGTTTCACTGCTTCACGCTCTTGACTTCTTCAGGAGTATATAGAGTAAGCTTCTGTCTCAGCCACTGTAGTTAGTCTGGTGTATTAATTCAACCTTCTAGGGATGTTATATTTGTTCTGAAACCCTCAGCTGTAGTAACCCAAGCCTGGATAAATACCATATAAATTGGTAGGAAATTGTGTGTCTTTTGATAGTAGTGAGGAGTCTTAATATGATGGGGGGGCGGAGGGATTTGCTTTTCTAACTACTATTCTAACTGATTTGTAACTACCATTAAGCTTTTTTCATGTTTTGATCCTTGGGGTGGGTGTGTGTGTATTTGGTAGTAGGAAACTATCCAGAAAACTTACTGAGGTAGGGCAGGTGTGGCACTAAAGTTAAAACTATACGTTAACTTCATGAAGATACATGGTCAGTGCGGGTAGTTTCATCTCCAGAGCTACTGTCTTTGCATGAGATTTGCCTGACTGAATGTAGACAATCACATCTGTACTTTACAGCTTGTATACCTTTTGCCTAATGGAGTTCTAGTAAATGGATTTTTAGGTTGAAATGAGCTGTTTCTTAAATAAGCTGTGTGGTTTACACCCTGAAAGTATTATGCTGTCTAGTGGAGAAATGTTTGCTAGGTGTGGTGAATGTCACCCTTTGAACAAAGCTGTGCGCTACTGCCCTGACTCAGTCGTTCAGCTGAAAGTATGTAGCTGAATTTTGAAAGTTGTAGCCCTCAACATCAGAATGATATAGGCTGGTTGGAGCGAGTCCAGAGGAGGCCACGAAGATGCTCAGAGGGCTGGAGCACCTCTGCTATGATGAAAGGCTGAGAGAGTTGGGCTTGTTCAGCCTGGAGAAGAGAAGGCTCCGGGGAGCCCTCATAGTACCTGAAGGGGCCAACAAGGAAGATGGGGTGAACTTTTTACAAGGGCCTGTAGTGACAGGACAAGGGGTAACGGGTTTAAATTGAAAACAGAGAGATTTAGATTAGGTATCAGGAAGAAGTTCTTCCTGGAGTGGGTGGTGAAGCACTGGAACAGGTTGCCCAGAGAAGCTGTGGATGCCCCACCCCTGGAAGTGTTCAAGGCCAGGCTGGATGAGGCTTTGAGCAACCTGGTCTAGTGGAGGGTGTCCCTGCCCATGGCAGGGGATTGGAACTAGATGGTCTTTAAGGTCCCTTCCAACCCAAACCAATCTGTGATTCTATGAATTTTTCCAACTCAACCAGCTGGAGATTTTGTCAGCCTTCCCAAAGTTTAGTGCATTGCTCTCTCCACTAATAGTTGCATTAATCCAATTGAAAGGATAGTAACTTGTAGAGGAGTAGAAATAAGCTGCTGGAAGAGGTGGGAGTGTTTACACTTTCACCAGTGATATGTAGAAATTTTATTTAATAGTCTTTAAGTCCTGTCTTTGAAGGAAAAAAAAAGAAGTTGCATAGTTTCTTGCTCTTTCTGTGTAGAGCAAAGACTATTAAGAACACAGTCTGTGTCAATGTGGAGCTCACTGCAGAACAGTGGAAGAAAAAATATGAGAAGGAAAAAGAGAAGAACAAGACTCTGCGTAATACCATACAGTGGCTGGAAAATGAACTCAACAGATGGCGAAATGGTGAGAAGCCATTATATTGTTGTTCTGCAAACTTCAGCCCAGACAGCAGACACTGAATTAGCCTTCACGATACCAAAATAATTAAGAGCACTATGCAAGACCGTAATAAGAATATTAAAGCTGGGATAATTTAGTTGATATTGGAACTTTGGTGTTTTTCACTGTATTGCAACTGGATCAATTTTAATCATCACATAATGGCAAGAATGTCTGGAAGTATATTGGTGTTAGGTTCTTCAGCACTTGGTTTACTAGCAGAGCTAGAGTTAACACACGTTCTAAAAGTTTTATTTCTGGGGAGAAAAAAATACATTATTTGTAAGTGAGGAAACTGAGTAAAGTGTTTCCTCTGGTTTGGTTTTCTAATTCAAATCGGTATCACAAGATCTTGTCCTTGTTTAAAACTCAAACATTTTAATAGGCAAGAAAAACATGCCAAGCCCCCAAATTGCTGACAGTACAGACTCTGTGCCCATTCTTTCTTCCTGAATAGTTAACTTATTACAGATTGAAGTGTCTGGCAAAATGCAAGTTGTATATGGAGCCTTGAATTCAGGAATTCATCTGTAAAAGGTGATTTTGCTATCTCGTCGGCAACTGCACCATATCCTGATCCAAATCTGAGGAAAATGGGCTCACTTAGTAGGATGTGTGGGTGGTTTTTTTAATCTTTTATAGAGATGGTATGAGGCCACACCTGATAGGTTAAATATAGTTCTTCCAGAATATTGACATAAGATACTGGAGCGTTGGAAAGAGCCCATACCTTCCGAGGACTTGCATGAAATATTTTGTAATATGACGCTAAGGAATTTAGTTTAGTTTACCAGAGAAGGGCCTTGATCAGTGTGTGGTGTTTTTTCGATGTGAAGCTGGTGAAGTGGTCTCATCCAAAAAGGCTTAGTGAACATAAAAGGATAAAAGTGTAACTGAAAAAGTATTTTTAATTAGAAGCAAAGCAGTTTAAACCTAAATATGGCTACCTAGCCA